TTCAGCTGCGCCGCATAGGTGACCAATCGACTGACCCCGCTGACATGAGGCTCCTGGACATTGATCGCTTCGTTTCGCAGTCGCTCGATGATCAATAGATCCTCGGCGAACATGTCCGGGCGTTGGTCATATTTGGAGGAGATGTATTGCGTGATGGCATTCGACAGCGTGACGGAGTGCGACCGCCGAAACGGAACCTGGAGGATATTACTGGAGAGAGTTAGCAGTATTCATCATGTAGATGTAGCAGCAGCACGTACGACGCCATCGTGTCAGTCGAGAGAGCATAGACATGCAGCCAGATCTCCGGAAGTTTTGTTGACGGAAAAGCCCAACCCCACCCGGGCAACGCATGACGTTGTGGGTGCCTGAGGCAGAAGTACGTTACATCCCACTTAAGGCTGTGCCACAATACACCATGTACTTACACCTGCTGCAGCAATGTACATCATCAGTTTGTATTTTCGGCTAGTATGTACTATTTACTTCCAGTTGAGCAATATCCTTCCTATCCACCAATGCCCAACCATATCCTGTTCAATGAGCCAGCTCATCTGCTATGTTGTGATGTATTCAATCAACCAGCCACCAATGCTTCTGTAGACGTTCAACCTTCCAGATAATCAACACTTCTTAAGAAGTATTCAATCAGCCAGCTCATCAATACTTCCTAGAAGTATTTAATCTTCCAGATAGCCAATACCTCCTAGAAGTATTTAATCTTCCAGATAGCCAATACCTCAGTAGATGTATTCAGCATTCCGCTCGGTTTTGCGGTTGAGGAATGTAATCATTCAGCTCATCAATCCCGCTCCTGATTTAATCATCGAGATTATCGATTCTTTTGTTCATGTATTCGTAGATGCTCAGAAGAATCATGTTGTTGATAGCAGTACGGACCAAAATGATCGACAAACCCTTGTAGATGCTGGACTTCGCCATAGCCGAGGCCGCCTCTCCGACTTCCTTGGACTTGCCAAGCAGCACGCTCTGAGCGCGAGTCTTGCGGGTGTCAAGCGGGTAGGTCTATCTCGTTAGCGTCTTCACCTCCAGTCTGTACAACGTACACTTACACAAAACCAGGGCATGGTGCTGCAGATCGCACCAGCAATCGCGGGCGCTCCTGTTCCCTTACCCATTTCTCTTTCCGCAATCTGCTTGACAGTCTCATACACGCCAAAGTACAGGCCGGTGCCAACAGTGTCGCGCAGGGCATGAAGATGGAATCCGGTGTACAGTCCGCGGAAACCATATCTCTTGTAGATCTGTCGGAACGCTTCGGTAGTGCTAAGACGTGGCATGTTACGCAGTGAAGGGTCATTGGGCGCATTGTTAGAGGCCTGGGAACGGTGGGACATCAAGACCGAGGTCTGAACTACGTTCTTCGCAAGCTCAAAGGGACCTGTTCTCGTTAGTAGACTTCTGAGTATGGTGTAAACCGCGTCTTACAAGCAACTGGCGAACTGACGAGCCCTGCAAAAAGACCAGCAGCGGTAAAGGTAACCACAGTAGAAACAGTGGGGCTGCTGCCTTCCTGGTCGTAGATTTCCAAAGGTGACTCCCCGGTCATTCTCTGGATAAAGTCGGAGACCTTATTCTTGGCAAAGGCATAGGTGGTAAAGTTCATCACTCTGACCGCCGTAACGCTTGCAAGAGGTGGCAGAGCGCCTGATTTCAACAAAGCATTAACATCCGCTGTAAGAATGCTGGGTGAGGTCAACCTACCAGCCACGTAACCACGCGGGCCTTCAGTACGCCACAAATAGCGGATACACTGAGCTACATTTTGAAAGTTGTGTCTGTCAAGGTCAGTACATCTGAAGCAGTAGCAAGTAAATACCCTACTTACGTCTGCATACGGGTTTTGACGTTTTCCAGGGGAGTCTGCAAGCAGCTAGTCAGTTCCTCTTGCTCGACCTCTTGACGCGTAGCGCGTAGCACTCACCACTGCGAGCGTAGCGAAGACAGTGGATGACGCCGAGGCTACCTGAGTCTTGTAGCTCTTAAGCAGTTTGTTGCGTGTCGCTTCATCCATCGTCAAAGTGGTTTGCGTCGACCGGGCTAAGGGAGAAGGTTGAGGGGGGGGAGGTGAGAAGGGTGCATGTTCAGAGTGTTTGTCAAGAGTCATTCCTGGAGGTATCCCATCTGTGGCAGATGAAGTGCTCCGTGTTGATCGCTTAGTCGTCGTCGCCGGCGGAGACCGTGAGGGTCAGTGAAGGAGATGGTGAGATGCAGGCTGGGGAACCCTATGGAACGCAAAGCGGTCTCTCAACGTGCGAGCAGACCGTTCGGCGTCCCACAATTGTCCATGAAGCAGGCCTCAGCAAGCCTGGTGATCGCACAGCTGTCCACAACAAGGGAACGTGAACGTTGGCGTATATATGAAATGATTGTGCAACTTCGAGCAACCGAGGCAGTGACAGCACTCAGCTTCACAAGCAATAGTCAAGCTCGGACGCACTCAACCTGGTCGTGATGGTATGAACAAAAGCTTTGTTCCAGTGCAAGAACGTGCAGACAATCCCTCTTCCACACCCAGGAACTATATCGAGACAAACGACGTCGTCTGAGCTATCTGGACAGGACGCACAGGTCATTAGCCATTTTGGTTCTTTTCATCCGCACCAACCCCGCCATCATAGCGGGACCACATTATTCTTTAAACCCAGTTACCTCCGTCCGAGCAACATCATGGACCTGGGCTGGATAACTTACCTCCAGAAGACGAACTCGACTGTCGGGAGTGGAAGAAGGGTCAATGAGGCGGGGACAATGGGCCGTGCGGGCGAGAAATCCAGAGTCGAAATGCAAGAAAAGAGGGAGGAGGGAGCGGCGGAGATCATCACGATGGACTACCGAGTTGGTTTTAGGTCCTTATTGGGAGAAAGTTAAGTTGACTAGTTAAGTTAGTGACCTTTCCAGCTTGTCTGCGGGTTTTCTGACTAAGGCAGGGAATCTTCCCCAAGAATCAGGCAAACAACAACGAGGCATGTGGCCGGTGCTTCTGGATGCGGTTTAGTGGCAGCCGGGCTGTGACGTCGTTGTGAAAGCATCCAGTGCGACAAACCGAGTATTTTATGATACGTTTAGTACGACTCGACCACCAGAGAGGACTTGACGGATGTCTCTGCCAGAGGGCAAGCGCGTCTATTACTCGCAGCCGATCAAACTGTTCTCCTCTACGAGACATGGTACAATGTACATTCCCAAACCCATTTGCGCAACCTCAGCTCTGATGTGTGACATTTTCCGTATTGGTTCTTTTGTTGCCGAGAATCCACCCTCGAACCTCGAACTGGGGAGCTAAACCCAAAGAGGGAGGCGTGGCAAGGGAGCTTGCGTCGGACTAAGCCAGTCCGGCGGTTGGAGGTACCCGCTCTGCCTGACGAGCCACTCATCAGGCGGATGCTCACGGATTAATGCTCTCCCTCATGGCCACGCTTGCTGCATAGTCCGCAGTCATTGGCTCCTCTCCGGCGGACGGGCAGATGGACGAAGGAGGGCGGGATGCGTCTGGAACTGGATATGGCTGTGGAAGCCAGGTACATCTCTCTGCTCGCCTCCAATCATGGCATTCCGCAGCTCTCCTCTACAGCATTGAGTGTCGGTCCACCTAGACCGGTGCATGCATGTCTTGGTTGACACTACTAAACGTACTTGGTAACATCAATGCTACGAGTGGTCAGAGTCTTCTGACGGTCCTGCCTGGTATACTACTAGTACTGCGCAGTTACAAATAGCAAGCGATTTCACATGCAAAGCGGGCGGGATAAGTCATTTTCCAATGATGGACGTATCCCTTCCTACTTCCTGCGCGTGGCATCTCCTGTTGCTCTTGACCCAATTCTGTAAATCACTTTAAGGCAGGAAACCAAGCTCCAACAACATGTGGCCAGAAGACAGTGGCATACCGCGGTACGAGCGAATAACGTTCCCCAGTCATCTCTGGACAAAGTTAAGGGCGACGGTGGACAACCATGGTCTCTCGTGCCAGTGCCACCCATCCTGAGAATGGTGTCGTAATACGGCCAAGTTCGATTGTTCTCGAGCGATTTATTGTGCCAGCACTATTGGCTTAGCGGGAATAAACCTCGTCCTGCTGATGTGTTCCAGCGTTGAGTGGACTAACCATGGGTACATTGTTGGTCAGAACTCATTGTTGATCCACGGGAGGCCATCCCCGGGAAGGATGGATATGCATGGATCAGGATTCGGTCGATCTCAGCATCCCTCAATACCCCACATATTGCAGTAGCTACCGTACTGTCCATACGCTGTAGTACACAGTATCCCTTTCGTGGTGCATCAGCAGATAGTTCATGGGCACCGAGTTGTCAGGGATAATGTGTGGATGCCCAGTGCATGTCGGGTTGTCAGTATATACTTTGATGTTGTGCAATGGTGGAGTCCACCCATAGAGGACTGCCCATCAACAGCACTACTTCCTCCCCTGTTAATGAGAGGAATGCTTGCAGAATAATGCTCAGTGGCACTTGGAACTGCATAATTCATTCAGCTCATCCTAGCCTTTGACATCCTCGGGACTGACTTGTTGGGGACTTTGAAAAGGCCCGGCTTCACATGGGATGAACATGAAGTGATGATGTGCATCTGCCGATGTCCACATCTTTTACCCAAAGCTTGGATAGTACTAAGATAAACATCAGGGCTACCTGAAGAGATTATCGACCAAAACTATCGACTTGATTGCATAAGAGCACAATGCAGTGGTTGTGCATGAACAACTGGGGTCAGCTTATCCTCGGGACCTCGGTCGGCACGGTTCCCCGCAGGGGAATCTCTCCGCATCCAACGGTCCTCAGTTTATCTCCGCTGCTATCCCCATGTGCTTCAGGGGTTGGGTTTATTTTAACGTTGCACCCGTATTCTAATTCTATACTCACAGAAGAACTATCCATTGACAAGATTTCTGCAAGCTTGCAGCTTCTCTTACGACCAACTAACGAAAAATCACGAACTATAACGAGACTCCATCCACCATGGGAAAGAAGCCATCTGGTCCCGCCTACGTCCTTGGCGTGGGAATGACCAAGTTCATCAAACCACGCGGCAAGGTCGATTACCATGAGCTTGGTTTTGAAGCTGGCGTCAAGGCCATGCTGGATGCGCATATCAACTACGACGACGTCGAGCAAGGTGTCGCCTGCTACGTCTACGGTGACAGCACTTGCGGTCAGCGCGTGTTCTATCAGTTCGGTCTGACCCAGATTCCCATTTACAATGTCAACAACAACTGCTCCACTGGATCCACCGGCCTGGCCATGGCTCGCACCATGGTCTCTCATGGAGCTGCTGATTGTGTCTTGGTTGTCGGTTTCGAGAAGATGAGCCCTGGAAGTCTGCAGTCAGTCTATAATGACCGCGCCAATCCTACCGGACTGTTCGGTACCATGATGGCAGAAACTAGGGGAATCACCAATGCTCCTGGTGCTGCACAAATGTTTGGCAATGCTGGACGTGAATATATGGAGAAGTAAGTTGCTTACGCCGTTTGTTCATATGTACGAGTACTAACAAGAACTAGATACGGCGCTAAGACAGAGGACTTTGCCGAGATTGCTCGTATCAACCACGAGCACTCGAAGCGCAACCCATACTCTCAGTTCCAGGACGAATACACACTCGAGCAGATTCTTAAGGCGCCCAAGATCCACGAACCTCTCACTAAGCTGCAGTGTTGCCCGACGTCGGATGGAGCTGCCGCCGCCGTCATTGTCTCCCAAGCATTCCTCGATGCACGCCCGCATCTCAAAGATCAGGCCATCCTCATCGCGGGCCAGCAGCTCGCTTCGGACAACAGCTCGCTCTACAACCGCAGCTCCATTGACTTGATGGGCTTCGGTATGTCCCGCGGGGCATGCCGCGCCGCGACTGCAGAAGCTGGCGTCAACGTGAAGGACATCAAGGTCTGCGAGCTGCACGACTGCTTCTCCGCCAACGAGATGATCGCCATCGACGCCCTAGAGCTTTCCGATCCCGGAAAGGCTCACGAAATGGTTCGAAAGGGAGACATCACCTACGGAGGCAAGATGGTCATCAACCCATCGGGCGGTCTCATCTCCAAGGGTCACCCATTGGGCGCCACGGGTCTGGCGCAATGTGCAGAGCTGGTCTGGCATTTGCGCGGCTGGGCCAACAACCGCCTGGTCAATGGAACTGATGCCGCACTCCAGCACAACCTGGGCTTGGGCGGTGCCGTTGTCGTAACGGTGTACAAGCGCGCAGATGGCAAGGTTGCCACACCGGTGCCATCCGACGTCGTTGCTAAGATTTCCGGGCTTGGCTATAACCCGGCCGTGGAGGCCAAGGGCTTCACGGCGGAACAGGCCAAGTCCGTGCAGAGCAAGAACCACAGCGACACGTGGGCATTGGGCGATACGCAGGAGAGGGTTCTCGCACGTTTCTAAGAAGTATAGCTAGCTCTGAGATGATAGTAATGGCAGATTGTATATCCCAAAATGCACACAACATATAATGCAGTGCCCAGTACCACAGCTTGTTGTAGCATCCCAAGTAGTATACCCCGATTGTACAACCTCCCAAGAACACCATCCAAGTCCAATACAACCAGGACATCCCAGCTAAGCAAAAAAAGCACCCACAAAGTTACACACACACACACACACACACACACACATCCCCCTCCATCCAAAACCCTCCAACCCAACCCGCCGCAATAATAATACTAATTGATAAACCCGATGGCTGGGGGGTTGGGTGGGGCCTACAGCACCAGCTTACTAAGCACCTCACTCCACCGCCCGAGATAAAATAAATTTTCGCGAAATCTCCTTTTCTTCTTTTTTTTCTTTTCCTCTTCAAGGTCTCCAACATACCCTTGTTGATGGATAAACTCTCCATTCCACTAGCAAATTTTAGCTTCGAGACCGAGAGTGATATAATCATGCTCGTTCTAATCCCATTGCCTGACAACTGTTCACGGGGTCGTTTGGGTTCGCTTTGAGCATACACCATTTTACTATTACTATTATTATTATCATCGTTGATTGGATATGATTGGCGACGGAAGAAAATGAGCTTCCTTAGCTAGTGATATTCTTTCATTGTTGCTCAAAGTTTTGAAATGTTGAACTAACTATAGGTTTTTATATCATCATAACATGGAAGACAAGAGGGAGGAATGGAAGGAAGGAAGGAAGGAAGGAGTCGGCACATTCGAAGCCTTGTCCGTCGTATCCCCATGATTCGTCGAGGTCAAAATCGTGCCAAGAGTGATCGGATTATTTGGACAAAAAATACGTCCTCAAATCTCTCCCTCGTGTTGCGACCGCCTGTTTCTTGTATGGGGTGGTACGTGTCAAAGTAGGGAGGTACATACTATCCTTTCGATTTGGATTGGTTATGCGTAGTGGCAATTTAGATCAATTGAAAAGATATCAAGAGCAAAAATCACGCCTTACAATCTCCTTTTTGTTCAAAGTAATTCAGTTCACATTCTGCTATAACTTAAGAACATAAGAAAAAATGATTGCATATATGCGAGCATACGTGGGAAACATCGTCATCATCCTCCAACTGACCGACAGCTTGTGCAGCGAGAATGTTTACATGAAAGGCACTCGCTGGCTTCTGCATCTGCATTCCGTGATTCTCCACACCGACAACATACCCACCACAGAAGTTTCCAATATTGGGATTCCGTTGCTGCGTCTTTGCCAGAAGACGTTTTCTCCGAAGTGCTGGGTTCTGGTGCCTCGAACCCGATCCAATCGGGAGCATCTTGGAACCGTCCTGGTACATTCCCATAGGCGCGACCATCACAATTGTATGCGTAGGCCACACGAATCTCTTCTGCATTGTCCGCCCGCCGATGCCAACGCAATGCAAGAAGTGCCAGTTTCTCTAGATGTTTGGCCACGTGACTCTCCCAGCTTGTGTCGGAAGTTGTGCTCAGCGTGCATAAGGGACACTCTGTTGGCCAGTCTATTGGCCACTCTGGTAGACGACGCTCTCGTGGGTACTCCGGTCGACACTCTGGTTGATAGCCTAAGAGCCCATTAGCCAACTCCTTGAGATGAAGTTGGCAGTGTGCGGACCATTCTTGCCGGGATTCATACAGACGAAAAGGCGATGGGCAGCATGGGAAGACACAGACATATGGCATGATGTCGTCGAGGACGTGCTGGGCCCAAGAATGTTCACTGCAATCAACCCGGACCATGAAGAAGCAATAAGGGCATTCATACCTTTCCCCCACTATCTGACAGGGGAAAAAAACCATTGCTTCATCACCTTCTTGTTCAAGAAGTGCTGCACGCGAGCAATTGGAGTCCTTCAATTCCTCCAGCTCCCCAAGCTGTAACATGTCCCGGTTGACAGAATTTGGTGTGTCAGACTCGCCTTCCTCGAGCTTGTCCAGTCCTATAGCGAGGTTCGAATGGCATTCTCTCCTATACTGCAGCATTTTCCGGCGCAGTGATATCGCTATTGCAAGCCGATCGACGATTTGAAGATCTACCTGAGGGTAACTCTCGAGAATGAAGTATCTATCGGAATACCCAAACGACAGCGCGTCAGACTTCGTGATCCCTAGAACAAAATGGGTTCTGGCAGGTTGACGAATTGCCGGTGCAATACGGAAGAGACAGTCCACTGTATTATGCACAGAGTGATAGATTAACTCGACTTCTGTCTGGAGCTTTGTCTGGAGATTCTCGTTCATATCAGGATCCGGATGCTTCCCATAAATAGGATTTGCTATCTCCCGCAAATTTTCACAGCTCCTTTGAAGCTGTTCAAGAAGGCTGGAAATCTGATTCTTGAGGTGAGGTGAGTCGCGCAGTCTGTAGTCCAACGACAATGAACTGCGTTCATCGGCACCAACATCGGCAGCCCACGCTCGCAACCGCCCTATTTCATCTTCCCAGAGAGACACGGGGATCTGATCAATGAACAGCCCAAGCTGTACGAATGAGATCCAGTTCCCCAACTCTCTGATAGCGAATACAGTAGGTGAGATAGCTTGATCCATTTTTGATGCTATGGCGACAGATTGCCTGGTCTGAGTTGAGAGAGGCCACAGTGAAGATTGTTGCAAGCGCCAGCCTGACGTGAGCAGTTCATGTATTACAGAGAGCAGGGTATGAGGGTCATTTGTTGCACTCGTCCAGTCCCAGCCTCGCCTGCTATACAGACTGTCTCTTCCTCATTGCTGCTGTTTCATAAGTCCGGCACTGCAAAATGGCTACTGGCCTCGAAGCAGCGGGTGTCGTTCTAGCCCTTCTGCACTGCTGGTACACCAGATCGGCAGCTATGTCCGAGGGTTCCAGATGTTAAATCACCTAAAATCAGAGGTTTACCGGAGCTGGATGGAACGCAACTACATCGCCTTAGAAAATGAAAGGGCAATCTTGCTCAATACACTGCTGGTCGCTGTGGACGGAATCACTTACTATGGATTTGGTGATCGGAGGAGGGATCCCACTTTCAGATTCTGGAAAAGCCCGGAGCTACAGTACCAGCTGAGGCGGAAGCTTGGAGATACTTATTATGACCAATTCACGAAAACATTGAAAGTGCTATTAGGCCTGCTAGATACGCTATCCGAGGAGTTGGGCTTGATTGTTGACAGAACTGGCAGTGGAGTTGTGAGTGGAACAAGCATCTTCATTAGGTTTCCAAGCCGCTGACCAAGTTCACGTGCCTGCCAGGTAACCAACATTAGCTCCCCCAGGAAGCTCGAAAAACAGCTCGAGAAAATCCGCCATCTCTCCCTACATAAAGTTTACGAACGTCGGATCAAACAGATCGCGTATTACAGCGGCCATCTACAGACCTTCGTGGCGCAATGCAATCAGATTCGGGAGATAAATGCAAGAAGGGCCGTATCCCAAGAAACGCTACGGCAACACCAAATAGACCGTCAATTAGCAAGCAGCCTGCATAATGCGATCATTAACGGGAATTATTGGCCATGTCTTTGCAAGCCTCAGCACAGAATTTACTTTATGTTTGACTTCTCGAACTCCCCATGGACATGTGACCCGTCAAACCTACCGGACTTTGAATCTCAGACGATTAAATTGAAGATGGAGGTCCTGACTTTGGAGAACCCTAATCGCTGGCACGAAGTCGAGGCTAAACCAGATAATCATAGTCTCCCGCAGGAACTGTGTCGTGATAGCCATACTACGTCAAGCCAGCAAGGGCTATCAACTGATGAAAACATACCCAACATCAGCTTCCCCCAAGGAGTTTCAGGTACCGAACAAGGAACCGTCATTGGAGCCCAAGACCTGCCGGCTGCAGTTCAGATCACCAATATGTGCGTTTCACTGTCAGCCGTCGGTATCAACGAGAGCAATGAGATGCTTCTCGGGTACGTGACAGACACAATGCACAGACATGATATTTACCATCTGGGAAGCAATGCAGAGAGCGTACGGAACATACATTCAAAATCTCTTGAAGAGCTATTTGCAATACTGTCCTCCTCGCCTTATGATATTACTGCTCAAGAAACCTTTACGTTTCAAGATCCTTAAATCGCGGTAGATCTTGCATGTGCAGTTCTTCACTTTCACGGGAGCTGGCTCAAAAGAGAGTGGAGAGCTCGAGACATCATGGTTTTCAAAGAGCCACGCGTCTCAGAACATGAACCCGCACTCAGACCCGTACCCGTACCCTATGTTGAGTGGGACCTGAATAATGAGCCCAGTCAGGTACAGGCGGGCACACCTTTTATCCATTTGGGGTTCGTACTGGTGGAGCTGTCTCAGTGTCAGACCCTGGAGGCGTTAAAGAAAGGGGAAGATCATGATGAAGTGCAGATTGTGGCTAATCGCAACACGGCACTCCGCCTTCTACCACTTGTGGAGGCGAAAAGCGGGCAAAGCTATCGTCAGGTGACAGAACAATGCTTGAATTGGCAGAATTGTACACTTGACAACGATAATATCTCCAAGGCAGTTCGGTCAATCACTGCGCCTCTGGTGGGATACTGGAGGATTCTCAAAGGGACAGAGCATCCACACTGAGGGAGGTACAGAAGTGAACAAATACTTGAATTCCTTTGGTGAGTATATCCCACTCGACATTGCCACTGCACCATACCAATCGCTAATAGTATAAGCTTTTTTCGTGTTTTCTGAAGTAGTGAAATAATGCTCTGTCAAATTGCACAATTTGTTGTTAAAAATTGATTGACCACCTTAGGCGTCAGCCAGCTAACAATGGAAGATCCGATCAGTAAGGAAGTATGCAAAATAACTTTGGGTTAATATTTGTAGTTCGGCTCTTAGTCTAAAACTGTTTCGAACCTCCTGGCAACAACAAGTACGCGACTGTTGCACAACCTCACCTTGATCATTCCACGATGACTTTTCCGCCACAAGGAGAACGCCCTTCATCGAATGCGATCCATCCCAGGCTGAATTAACTCCCATCATTGAGCAAATAACCCTCCTGTCATCGTGAAACAGACGCGTTAGTCTCGCAGCTGCTGTCAAGCATGCATCCTGGATGCACACGCGGCTCTCCTGCAGAACGGTTAGGAGGAGTAAACCATGCCGCGCAATAAACCAAGGATATCAGACAATTGTGTAAGACCCTGTCCCCCGGAATGTGCCCTTCTTAGTGCCGGTTTGCCGATCCACGTACCCATCAAGCTTTCTCCCTCCACCCACCTACATGAGGATGTGCCGCCCTGAGCACCCCTTGCGTCCATCAAGGTACACAACGGGATAAACCAGCCAAACATACACCACCATCGACCAAGCCCTTGGATTCCACAAATATGAGCCACGCGGATCATCTATGTTTTGAGTCCATCGCGAGTGTGCGCGGTCCCTTCGTTCTCCATCCCAACCAGGGGAATGTCAGACAACCCACTGTTGAAACCTGGGAGCCAAGGACAAATATAAAAATGCCCACGAGGTCAGCTCCGTAGCACACCAGGCGAGCATTCGGATTCATTTCTGCAGTGGTCTGGTCGTTTGTCTCATACTTATCCTTCCTCTTCTACTACTACTCTACTCCTATTTGCAATCTTGATCAATCACACTTGGCTATAGATCGATCTACATTCATCTATCACGCCTATCCACACTCTTTATTTATTTATCTCACTTCAATTCTCGATCTCTTCTCACTTCCCACATACCCACATATCATCATCACAATGGCCCGTCTCAGCCTTTCCATCTTCGTCCTCTGCCTCTTCCTGGCCCTCATGGTCTCGGCCATGCCCGTCAAGCGCGAGAACTCCAGCGGTAATGAGCTGGACGGCACTCTCGCCGAACAGGTCGCAGAACAATCCCTCGAGGTAATTCATATTCCCTCTCTTACTCAACACCTTATCCAGATTCTGACGTAACAACCCTATAGTCCGCCAGCAAGATGCTCGACCAAATAACCGGCAAGGACGACGACGACAAGAAGAAGCCCGCCCCCAGCGGCACCACCGACAGCAAGCCCTCTCCCACTGGCACCAAGCACGCAACCGAGTCCCAGACTGCCCCTAAGACCGAGGAGAAGGTGGCAAACACTGAGCCCTCCGCTACCACCCCTACCTCTTCCGAGGAGACCCCCTCAACCTCTAGCTCTGCCCCCTCGACCGCGTCGTCGCACGTCGTGAATGACAACCCACTCTCGAAGATCCCTCTTGTGGGTGACTTGTTGAGCGGTGGTGGTTCTGGCTCTCTTACTGGAGGACTCTTGGGTTAAGTCATCCAACCTTCCCAATATGGAATGAGGAGTTGTGTGTTGTCGTTGTCGCCTTCATGTATGTTTGTTTCTATAAGCATACATGCATGTGAGATGGCAGTTTGATATTTGGATGGAAAGAAAAGGAAGAAAAGAAAGAAAAGAAAGAAAAGAAAGGGATCTTTGGGATGGACTTGAGTGCGTTGAGTCTGTCTTTGTTAAATCTCTTTTTATCATTTTGAAAACGATAGTAATGGTTTAGTGTAGCTAGCTAGATGCATTGAATGGAATCCAAATCATCAAACTAAATTAAGACAATTCAGTGTAGGGGATATGCGTTTAGCTAGCTCGTAGTGAATCAAGCACGTGGTTTTGAGGAGGGACTCATGGCCATTGCTCAGGACGGTGTAGGCTTCATACATATCTGCTTTATTTGGGTCTTGAAGTAACATGAGAAGTGAGAGTTTAAGTACAGCAGAGAGGGCAATTAGGAAGACGTTGCCCAGGGTATACCGAAAAGAAGGATGGACGTCACGAGGTGATCCATCCGAGCAACAGACTGTTAAAGACGTAGTAGTCTGCTAGTTATCCAGCAGAACGAGATGCAGGGTATCCATCGTAGGATAGATCACAGAAGAAGGGAGCTCTTGATCAGAAAATGGAAACAAGGATGTTGGCGTATTTGTATATGTCGATGGATAACACAATAAATAGTGGCGAGCAACAATACCCGGGACAGCACTTCGTTCATCTCCGCCCCATTTCGATCAACCCCAACCACAGACGGTGCCAGAGAGATCCAGTAGAAGTCATCCGTCCCAAGTGGCGCTAGCTAATTTCATTAGACGGTACACACCCGCAGGACTTAGTAGGGTCTCTTGTATGAGTACGCGAACTGGTCAACCTGGCGCGTTGATACGCCCCAGACATTTCGCATACCCTCAGTAGCCGTCACTTCCAATAACCATTCATCGGGGTCTCTTTCATCTCACTTGATGTTGCTCCTTTTCCAACGATCTCTTTATAATGAATTGAATACATTGGTTTCGACATCCCATCATACCCAGGCATGTGAGGACGTTCATCTGGAAGAAAGATGCATGCGAGATAAGAGAGAACACTCATATGCGACTTGCCAAGGGATTTTGTCGGGCCGTGGCTTCAGACTCGGTTCGAGACTGTGTACTGTGTGCAGAGTGGGGTATTGTGCAAGCTATATATCTGTCTGTGAGACCAACCGACTGGAAGCCGCAGTGGTGCAAGCGATGTGGTCGTGAAGGGGACGACAGATGTCAAAGCAAAGAGGGTGTTCTCGGGGAGATCCAGTAACACACCAGCAGTGAGGGTTCCTCAATCTGCAAGCTGAGGACTCAGAGACGGATACACACACTGGATAAGACCCAGACCCTCCAGATGTGTGGTAGGGCGAGAACATATAATCCAGCCGGACAATGGCGCGTGAGGAACTCGGCTTAGCCGAAATAGAGTCACCGGAGGAGGCCCATGAAAACGTCGTGCTCGCTCTTACAACGTCGTGCCGAGACTGCAGACCTGATACCAGTTGTACGTGCCGCAGTGGTTGTATCCACCTTGTGAGTTCCTCCATGCGCGCGTTTAAGCGCAATGGGTGTCATGTCATCATCCATTTCCGTTCAATCTACCAACAGGGCAGAATATTGAGAGTAATGGTTAAGATAAAGAGCCAAAACCATGAGACACGTCTCTAGCAAGGGCGGTCTAACTCCCTATATCCAATGATAGCACGCAAGATCAGCTTGCGATTTGGTGTCAACCTTGCTAAGGAGACATGACTTTGCTTGCAAAGCATAGCCTAGGATGGCGGAGTCCGAGATATGTTCCACTTTGGTGACATGGGGGACAAGCAACCGGGACATTCTTCCATCTTCGAGAGAGTTTGCGTGCGGAAGTGTCTGTGGATTGGAACAATACGATGCGTTTTGCCCTTCTGCCCAAGCGATATGGATTGGCCATGGTCACCACCGAAGGCTCGTTGGAGGAGGCGGACTCCTTGAATATCCCAGTTTGATCCTGGACGTACTGCTCATGAACGGTTCAAAACGACCTGGTAAGTACTATCTCGCTCCGTCACGATAGATGCCCATTACAAGTCTGGGCTTTGGCGTTGACCGGCCGTACAGGAGCGAAGTAGCGGAGTTGGGGGAAAGAAGAGCGCTATGAGATCTCGTAACAGGGGAGGTGGTGGGTACGAAAGCGATTGATCTAACAATTTGATAATGCTTTGCTTATGTTGATAGGGTCATCTCAAGCTCCGTCCCCAATTGTTATGCGCGACCCCTGGCAACTGACACAAGAATTCTAATTCTTGGTCTGGAGACGGAGAAGACGTATGAAAGCCGAGCTGTCAGGAAGCTGGTGTTCGATGACTGTTGCGTCTGTGCGAATTGCCACGGATCGGTTATCCCTCATGGTGCTTGAGCACGCGTGGAGGCTCCCCAGTTCTATGCTCCCTGAGAAGGGAGAGCAGCCTGATATATGAGAGATGGTGACCTTGGATCCTGATTGCCTTGTGGGGTGGCTTGTACTCCACGGACCCTAGAGTATATGAAAGATAGAAGATGGATTCCCCATTTGCAACCAGATTCCTCAACTGTCTTATTGACATACTGGCAATTGTTTCCGTTAGTCATTGACTTGCGGCTTTCGAGTAGAATATACCTTTCTTCATGACCGGTCTGGTTCTCACTTGGGACTTGTCCAGCCAGTTTCTGTCGCTGTGAATAACTGATAAATCGGAGGAAAACCAGGTAATGACTGGAATTTCGGGCTCATTTCCCAAAGTATGTTGTGATCATATGCACACAGACTCGCGCCGCGCACATCACGTTCAACCTCAGTCCACAAGAGGCGCAGGTGGCCTTGTTCGTGGTATATACCTCCTATCCAGCGGTATGTGACGCTCTGCTCACACTTCAGCGCTGTAGACGTCGTCCCGATGCTCGGTTCCGGAGCTCGTATTACGACCCATGTCGTTGTACCTCGAACTAGGTTTCCACTAGTACAGAGACGGACGTCTTGACTGACAAGCCTGACTATATTGTGTCATGAAATCAATGATCTGACGGGACATACCGCATTGTAATCACTGATGGAGGTTTAAGGGGCTGACTGATAGGTGAACTCTAGCATTGCCATAGACACAGGCTTCCCGCATTGACCGTCTTTCTCTTCCCCAGACAGGGCTGTATTGTCTCTGGAAATAAAGCTTTTCTCCCCAGTCATAGGCGGAGACAGCGCTGGGATGACAATAGGAGGTCTCTAGTTCCCCATATGGGGAGAGGACTGCGCGGAACCGACCCGAATCCGCGCTGACTACCCATGAGATAGCTGTCAGCTCCTCATCAGAGTCATTCATATATCAGGATTATATGGGTGTGCCGGACCGGAAGGTTGGAGAGGCGTGAGAGCACAATGCGATAATCTGACAATGATGGTATCATATTTTGCTAGCGATTATCCCGATCATCCGTCCTTGTTCAAGGCTGTGTTCAACCCAAATACTGCATACACCGGTGGAAGGCATACGGGAGGCGAGCGCGATTATGGTCGCTTGTTTTGGGCCCACTCTGTCTGTTGCCAATGGCGAACTTTGCATGAGGGCTGACAAGAGGAGTAGCCTCATTCCAGTGGACATGCTGAGTAGGTCTTCCGCCTAGCGAGACAAAGATCTTTGAAATGAGGTCATTGTCACAAAGAAATGCAGTGTCGATGCGAAGATTACTTAGTGTAAACACATCAGAGATGGACCCTGTCCGAGGCGAATTTCCAGAGTGTGCTTGATTCATCCCACAGGTCGACAACCTCATCAATAATTTTACCGGCGACGGTGATATGAGAAAAGAGCATAGGTCCCGACTATTTTACTGCCTTCATGAAGAGCTATTCTCTATCATAGGGTGAATCTGAATCTTCGCACGACAGCGAACCTCTACCATCATATATTCTGTTATGTCGGCGGGTATGGTGACATGAAACGAGAAACTCAATGTCCAGTATGCTCCATTTCACTGGTGATCTCGCCGTCAATGGCACGTCCGGATAAGGCGTTTGGTTGGAGTGAGATTTCGGTTCGGTCTCACCACTGCCGGTAGACAGGAAGCTCTAGTTGGAGTTGATTAGAGACTGCTAAATCTGATTGTTTTCCCGCTGCTTGAAGAGCCCGGAACAATCATTGGCTCGCTAGGTAACGTCTTCAAACATATGGTTAGTCGGAACAAGACAACAGAAGCTATTCATTCCATAAGAGCACCTACCTTGTTCTCGACACCAGACCGGTCTGATACAGCACTCCCAAGGTTATGACCATCCAGATGATAAGCAAGGTCAAAGTACAGAGAGTTTGAAGCCTCGGGCTTTTCCAGATACATTGCATTTTAGCCGGCGAGCATTTATCTGTAGAGGTTGTACGCTTCATAAAAGGCGATGTCCACTATGTTCGACTGGTATATAACCAGGGTAGAGTATACCAAAGAAGAGGGGTCGAAGCCGGATGCATGTCCCCACTGACGTCCTTCGTATTCATTTTGTCTAGCGAATACGCCATGCAAAGGCCAAGGTAGCGACATACCCGAAAAGTGATGGAGGGGGTTGTTTCTGGGCTTGTTATGACCAATGAGTGGATCTGGAACGCCTTCGCAGGCGCAGGATTTGGTTTTCGATTCCTTGCATGTGCTGTGCGATGCAGGATCTTTGTAGCTTTGACTCTTTTGAACGCAAGATGAGTCCCTTGATTGCGAAGTCTGTTGGAGGGGTTTTGGGGTTTTGCCACTTAATACCAAGGTATTTTGTAAGACTGATTTCGACATGGTTGATGTGATATCGTAGGCTCGGGAGCAGTCACGAAGACTGACCACGAGTCATCCGGTTCTCGTGTGCTCACGGTTCCTGCTGAGACACGGGCACAGACGTTCTGTGATGGATCTTTCTTTCGACGGACTGGAGGCGGATGGCTTCGAACATCTCCGTGGCTGCGGATACGGCAACGCCTAAGGCTATCTCCAGATAGCGTTGTGTAGATGATTCGAAGTATATGGCCACTAAGCGCTTTATCAATAGCTTCTCATGAGACCAACCATCGAGACGACGATTTCTCCGTTATATAGAAGCTGGAAGAGACAGGTGCGCGCAGCACGGCTTTCCAGTGAGTAGCGAAGCCTTGGGTTCGTGGAATTTTCGGATGTTCGTTGAACTAATTTGTACACAAAAGGCCTCGCACTCGTAGCCATTGGGACCATGGCATGGAACCCGGAATCGCAGGAGCAAAATGCGATCTGCGACGAGACAGTAAGTTCCTGAGAGGAAGCGTCGTGCCGTAAGTGAGCTGTGATGGATTTATAGATCTCTTGTTCAAGCGAAGGGATCGAGAACATAACCAATTCGATGCTGCTTTGGTAGGGTATTTACCGTTGTTGAGCGGACATGACCAGAATCAATGGAAGCGGCTGGATCATAGATCAGAAAGCTTATGCGAACGATAATGAGGAGGGTTGAACCATGAACTCTTCGTGCTATATATGCGATGTTAGATGATTTGGCTAAGTGAAGTCAAAGCTGATCGGGCTGGACATATCGGCGGCGCATCGAGGAGGCCTCGGGAACTCCACTCGTAAATCAAGCTGCGCTAATGAAAAGCAAGGTCACAAGTGAAAGAATAGATGCGGGTTGCAGCATGCCGTATTAGTGTGATGCTGGTGTATAGAAGGGGGACATCAACGACAACACGAGACTCTCGGAATAATAGGATGACAACACAAGTTTTAGGGTCCAACCAGAATAGTATCGGGATTGTGGACAAGCATGTTTCTCCCTTGCTCTTATCGTTGCCACAGTATGTCAGAAAAATTGGACAAGAAGACTGTTGTTGCGAAGTTGTTGCACGCACTATAGGCTGATAGATCAGGTGACATGAGTGAGGCGATAGGTTGCTTCAGGGACATGAACTGGATAAATTAAGAAAGTACCCAGAGATTCAGTGCCTCCATCTCCATACACCGATGACCTGGCAAACGTCTTGCCCAATTGTGTTCAGCGAGAGGGGCCGATTCGATGGTGTATTTGCAGCAGGAAATGAATGTCGGCAAGACGACATTTGGTGACCCCCTGGTCAATTCCCACTACTCTGAGAAAGGTCCTCGAAAGGATCCTCTGGGCCTTCTCTTCATTCGCTCTCAATCAACACGCAGCGCAGGCCGCCATGGTTCCCAGGCCTAACAGGAACCGTCCATGAAAATTGGGAATGGCAAGATGCTCGAAAGCCTATACCAGGACCTCATTGGAATCCTGCGGGTCACTGAAGGAGAACCAGGTTGTATGAGGATCGCCCCGGCACAGGGCAACAACTGATCAGGATCGCTCGATTGTCACAGCTAATTGGCCGAAGGTGATAGCAGAGGTGATCGCTCGGCGATTAATATATTTGACCTGCAGAGCCATATCAGTCGCGTAAGTCATGAAAATGAGAGAGACCGTGACTTACTGAGCAGTAAGGTCCGGAAATCGTATTGAATACTTCGGATTCTCGAAAGTGATGGCTGTCGAACGATGGGCAATGGTGGTTTTGGAAACTCATTATTGGAAACCATCATGGTGTATATATACTTTATGACCTCTGAGGATGGGTTTCGCATATATTAAGATGCCCGCTTCCTCCAGTTCCTCACGGAACTTCGATTACAATCCTCACCTCATTCAGACATTGATGGAGCCTATAGGAAGGTCAATAATCTTGTATGTAAAAATCATTATGCGTCATGTTCTCACCTCTTTCGTAGGTTATATATATGCTTCCAGCATCGTGGGGGATACCAGGCTTCACCGGACGACAGCATCCGAGAATTCCTTTCATGGACAAAATAGGAAAACATGGGGTATTCTACAGAGCCCACAATATACGGTCGAAAGATTGGTGCTCCAACTCCTTAGTCCTGAAGTGGGAACACCATGATACATTGAAGGTCTCTTCTATCTCCTTGAGTGTGCGCTTAGTAGAGAAGATGGGACGTATGAATGACAGCTCAAAATGTCCGCGAGGGGGTGGATATATATATATATATATATACTAGAGAGAGAGAGAGAGAGAGAGAGAGAGAGAGAGAGAGAGAAATCCTGGAGATCAAGGAACAAACAAGAGGGACGGAAGGATGGGGATATATAGCTCCCGAAAGTGCATTTCTAGTAAACAGGAGGCAAATAGACATGAGAATGATATTCAGAATCTAGACCGCACGAAGTCAAAGGGGCCAGGGTGAGGCCGCCAGTAAGGCCACCGCGCATTATTCCATGTACGCAGCGTTGTTCCACAGTCTTCATGTAGAATTCCAAAGTCGCAACCGGTGATTGTGGCCCAAAGACAAGCCCGCCTACTCAGGTAACATGCCAAGTAGGTGCATGCACATCTACAGCCGCCTGGAAGGATATTCTCATCTAAACCTGGCCTGTACCCAGACGGGATGTTGTTTGCGCCTGCGGCCGTCCTGGGGATTTAGCTTTCCGCGCTCATACTTCAATGCAACCTACCAGGATTGCGAACAACGCAGATAGATGCTTGTAACTTCGTTACTATACTTTCAGCTGGGTTATGAGCTCTTGTTCTGGTTCGCTCGCTGTTGGCCTTCATATAGACCAGTGTAGTATCCAGCATAGTACCAGGCCATCATGAGGTTTTTGAGTCCCTCATCTTGAACTTAGAAAGAGTTAAATTTATTCACAGCAAACAAGGGTTAGAGCGCATTTTACCTTGGGATAGGGTGGCATGAGGCATAGGAGGTGCTCCTACGGAACTGGACCCAGCCGTTTGATCGGTGACATGGGCACCCTGTCCAGAAGGCTGTTCCGGTCCTTCTGTAGCCTGAAATGAAGTCAGTCCAGTAGATTCAGCCTAACAAACGGAGCAACTCACTTGCGACGGTTTGGCCTGTGGCACCTGTTGAGGTTCTGCTGCAGTTGTTGCATTGGCAGCAGTGTCGGCGTCGACGTCAGCATCCATGCGGTCGGCCGATTCGTCCAACGGCTGCTCATCTTGCTCCATTTCAGCTTTCTCAGCAGCCTCTGCTTCTCTTAGGACATCTTCAACATTCTCCCCCTTCGCATGAATGCTGTGGTAGAGCTGTTGTTGTTCTGGTCAGCGAGCGGATCACGTGCACGGGGAGGAAGCCCATACTTTATATTCCTCGACAGCCTCATCCCAGCTCTGGACGAGGGCCGAATCATCCCAGATCTCTTCCTGAGTGAGGGGTTTATTCGCCTTGGCCGATTTTCCCATGACCCCGGTAAATGCGCGCAAACAAACGGGCGTGTGAGATGGTTGGGTTGCGGAGAAACAAGAGCTTAGAGTTGGAGTCGCGGCGAGGCCCCGTCGGCCGGGCTGGATTGCATTCACCGCTTGGCGCCCGAAAAATTGCGAGCAGAAAAAAAGTTTCCCGCACCTTTGCGATCCTCCGATTGTAGTCCCCCAGGAACCGCCTGCAATTATCCCCAAAAATCACAGCAGGATGGCCCCCGACAAGAAGGACAAGAAGCGCAAGGGTATGTATTGTTACACCGTTTGAGAGATTTTCATTTTTACCCCGTTGGTGCGCCTACTAACGCTGCTCAGCTGCCGCTGCCACTGCCGCCGATTCGCCCGCAAAGAAGACCAAGAAGGTCGAGGCCAAGCCTGCCGAATCCCCTAAGGACGCCCCCAAGCCTATCCTCAAGAAGGCCAACCAAAAAGAGGCGGCTACAAAGACCGATGGCGCTTCGAAGACCAAGGCCAATGGCCAGCCCGCCAGACAGATCAAGCCTCGCAAGCGCGCAGCCGATTTCCTGAGCGACAACGAGAACAGTGAGTCTGAGGCGGAAGTTGCTGAGCCCAAGGTCGCGAAGGAGGAGAAGCCTACCGCCAAAAAGTCGAAGAAGGAAGACGGATCAGCTGCTCCCGCGACAAAATCCAAGCCCGCCAAAGCCAACACCAAGGCCAAGAAGGCAGAGCCTGTCGTTGAAGAATCTGAGGAAGACGAGTCCGCCGCCTCGGAGGCTAGCCAGAGTGAGGATGAGGAGGATGACCGCACAGCTGCCCTCATCCGGGGTTTCGAGAGCAGTGGTGACGAGGATGAGTCTGGCGATGAAGGCTTCAACCCCGACCAGCCGGTGCCTCAGATTCCCGACTCGAAGAAGGCCAAGCGCAAGATCTTGAAGAAGCAGAAGGAGAATGCCGGTCACGTTGAGGAGCCTGGAACGGTTTACGTTGGGTAAGTTGACCCATCAGGAAGTTTGCTTGTGACTGCTATTAACACGCTATGCTACAGACGCATTCCCCACGGTTTCTACGAGCACCAGATGCGCGCCTACTTCAGCCAGTTCGGTAAAATCACTCGCCTGCGTCTTTCCCGTAACCGTATCACCGGTCGCTCCAAGCACTATGCTTTCATCGAGTTCGCCCATACCTCTGTCGCTAAGATTGTTGCTGCCACCATGGACAACTACCTCATGTACGGTCACATCCTGAAGTGCAAATACGTGTCCCCCGAACAGCTCCACCCGGAGGTCTGGAAGGGCGCCAACAGACGGTTCAAGCGCACCCCCTGGAACCGCATCGAGAAGAAGCGTCTTGACAAGGGCAAGACGAGAGAGCAGTGGACGGAGCGCATCGAGAGGGAGCAGAAGAGACGTCTCGCCAAGGCTGAGAAGCTCAAGGCTATTATGGGCTACGACCTCGACATCCCGCAATTGAAGAGCGTGGATGAGGTTCCTGTCCAGGAGGCCAAGGCCATTGAGGCCTCTGAACCCGCTGCTGAAGAACCCGCCAAGGCCATTGAGGCTGCCCCTGTTGAGGAACCCAAGGCCGAGAAGCCCGCTGAAGATACCCCTAAGAAGACCAACAAGAAGACTAAGAAGGCTGCCCAGTCCCCTGCTGCGCAGGAGACTCCCAAGTCGGCAGAGAAGTCTACCCCGAAGAAGACCACCGAAGAAACTGCTTCCCCGGCCGCCCAGAAGGCCAAGAAGGTCCAGAAGAAGACCAAGGCCAAGTCTAAGGCTTGAGGGGATTGGGGGGTTTATATACTACTTTTGTATTTCTTATGGCATTAAACAAGAATTACCCGGAGTTCAATCGATTGTACATGAAAAAATAGGGACATCATTTTCGCTTCAACAAGCCAATCTTGATTCATATTTCTGTCCAGTAAACGTTATACCCAAAAACTCACACATAACCACCGCGTAAATTCCCAGCATGCCTCAGGCACTAATATCTGCAACACCTTAGAAAACCCAAGTCACATGACACCTACCACGACCCACAGCTCCACTCCCTGACTAATCGGCTATAAAAAAAACCCACGCACCGAATCCAAATTTCCTCTCTTTTCCCTTTCTTCTCCCAACTCCTCGCTCAAAGAATCGCATTCAAAGCTCACACACAGAGAGCAGTCTTCACGACTCTCTTTTCCCCCCTCAGCTTTGGGAGAAAGTCCCCGGACATCCTGACTGTCTAAACGTCCTCTTGTAGGGCCCAGTCAGGCAATGCGGAAACGCGCCGCCATAGAAGCAATTCGATAGCGGCTTATACGCCCTATTCCCCTCCCAGTGTTTGTCTCTGTACCCGAACACTTGCTGCCACCTTATGGTGTGGCTTGTGGGTAACAATGGTTGGTGCAGGACAGTGCTGGAGAGGGGGTTTTATTTGGGTTGCCTTTCGTCGTGTTTGGATAGTCATGCGATTGCCCTTCCTATATTTTTCTTGGAACCGACCTCTCACGTCTGAAATATGTCGGGGAGCGTTAGACTAGGAAATATTTAGGGGGTAACTCAATGGGGCTCATTCTTGAGGCGAGGAGTTCAATTTCTTTTTCTTTACGAGTCTGTAGCTTATGGAAAGCGGTGATTGTGGGCCCTTGGTGATTCGGTTCATCTTTTGGCTTTCGTCGCAGATGCTCTGTCGAAGGAGCCGGACTCTACTACTACTCCTACTACTACTTTCCATTTTCATTCTTGATGATGTTTTGATTTTTTGTTCGTGTGATGATATACCAATCATAGAGTCAAGCCCTGAAACCCCTTACTACGGTATGGGGTCGTTGACGATAAACGATTGTTTTTTTATCTGATGAACAAACATATTTCATATTCATTATTGATACCCCTCATCGCATCATTATATCATAAGTCCGAAAAAAAAATATGAATAAATTATCTTCCAAAAGAACCATCTTATTTTTACACATCCAACTCCACGTAGCTCAAAACATCCATGTATCCATTAGCATACATACACATAACTTCATTGTGTCTTCTTCGCAGCAGGCGCAGCAGCAGTAGCAGCAGTAGCCCTCTGCAACAAAACAGCCGTCACCACCTCCGCCATAGTCGTAATCGCCGTCGCACAAACATTACTCCAAATCTGGATGCTCACCGACCCCATCGGCGCACGGGGGAACGACAGCACCCAGGCCACGTAGTAAGGAAGCCAGCCCTCCGGCAGATGGAAGACAGGCGTTTTCGAGTACCAGAACTGCAGGAAGAACTTGAGACCAGATGTACCGAACCAGCGAACGATTTTGACGCCCCAGTCGAAAGAGGTTTTCTGCGAACTGAGTTGTTTGTCTGTTGAACCCGCCATTGTTAGCTCTTTGCCTCTTAAACCAGCCAGTTCCTCAACCCCAAAACCAATATATATAGACCGTAACTGTGATGGGAAACCAACGTACTTATCGCCTCATATTCCTCCATAGTCTTATCATGCTTCCGTCGGAGTTTCGCCCATTTCGCAAACTCATCCTGTGAGCTGGTGTTGTTCATGTCCCGCTTCAGCTGGACAACCTCGCGCTTGAGTCGGTTTTGTTCCCTGTATTTCTTCGACGTGGAGGTCGGAACCTTTAGGTAGAGGAGCCATAGCTAGAAAGTACTCATTAGCTTTACTTCGACTCTGGCATTTGGTGGGCGAGAGAACAGCTCAAGACATAACAGCTAAACGGCCGCTACTCAGCAAGCTCCCAGACAAAACATACCAGATTATCAATCGTGCTAGCGCCAATGGTATTAACCAAATAAATGGCGACATGGACGAAGAAAACCGACCACAAAAGCGACAGCATGATGGGCTAGACGTCGGCTGCGATCAATTGACGGAGGGGAGGAGGGAGCGAGGGAGGGAAAGAGAACAAGGAATAGATCGAATTGGTGTCCGGAGATGTGGGCGGAAAAAAGACCACGAAGCCCGACCGACTTGCGCGGAGAGTGGTGCGTGCGACCTGCCTCGGACAAGCAAGTTTCCTATAGGAAGCTCGAGGAAGTTTTAACAATGAGCAAGCAGACAAAAAGAGAGAGAGAGAAAGGCTGAGGCTGAAAGAGAAAATGACACCCATGAATGGAGTGAGAAACAGCAAATGACGTTGTCACGTTGTTTCCCGCCCGTCGGCCGCGGCGCGGCAACTTTCATTTCCCCCCGTCGGGAGCTCTAAACCATGTCCCTTTCTAACATTAACATAACGTCCGCTATTACTACGATTCGTACGCCATGCTGCAAGGCGGGTGATTCTCAATGTCTACTTCTCCGGACGGAAATGCTGCCTACAATGAACTCGCTCGAATATTCTCCGCTAGACGCAAAGATAACAACGTCCTAGAGATCGAGATACTCCCGCCTGGTCTTGGTCCACTGCTACAAGATGGGAACTCGGTCGGAATTACGAAGAAATACCTGGTCCAGGCTTTCGTAACGGCTAGAAGAATATTCTTCGATGCATCAAGCGAGCCGTTCTATTTTTCCGATGCCGGCGGTCATGAAGATGAGCGCAAAGCTCCGCAAAACGAATCACTGCTACAGAAACGAAGAGACGACCTGCTGAATGCCAGCGAAATTATCCTCCTCTTCGATTGCGAACACCTGACGGCATGCAGCTGGCGCAAACGACGTCTGGCTGCCTTGCGCCAGCGTGCTGGCTCTGCGGACGCCGGCTATACTTGTCGGGAGATGCTCACTCGTGAATTGGACACGGAGATGTCTCTATTGTCCACCTACATTTGCTCTCCACTGCATCGTCATACGAAATCTCCGACATTGTATAACCACCGGCTATGGGTGTTGAGGCAGATGCTTTCTGACAGCAGCGGCAGGTTGATAAGGCGAGAAGATGACAGGGAGATCTTGTCGAACCAAAAGGTGCTGAAGAAGGAACTATCTGTTGTTCTCCGATCCGGAGAGCTACACCCAAAGAATTACTACGGTTTCACTTATATAAGACAGCTTCTCGACATTTTATCGAGCTGTGATGCTGATCAAGG